CGTTTTTGTTCGACATGTTCAACCGAAAATCCGCCCAATTCCTCGAGTCCGGCCTCGTGAGCAAGTTTTACAATTCCGACCTACCTGACGGTCCTGAGGTCGCACCCCCGCCTCCGGAAGATGACGAACCGAGGCCGTACACTTTAAACGACTTGCAGCTACCGTTTTTTAGTCTTGTCGTAGGTCTTCTATTGAGCCTCCTTCTTTTCATCGCGGAGGTAGTATTGGAGGATTTTGAGGATCTTTTCTTTTTGAGGCAAATAAGGAAGGTGCTTTAAAGATTACTTTTCGACGACAACAAAAAACAAGCCAGGAAGCGGAAGCCCTCTTCCAGCGCAGCAAGAAGTTGGGAACGACCCTTGGTAAAGACCAAAATGCATGGCGCTCTACGGGGAGCGACTGAAACGGGTGAGGGTTTGAAATGAAAATTACGTGCAAAAATTCCAACACATCCTTAATTAAAAACGCACACTTGAAAATGAAAGACTTAAGGTGATTCGATGGACGCCATATTTTGTGTCAGAACGGCATGCGATATATCGCATCAATTGGTTCCATTTTTTCAGCTACTCGTCGTTTTTCTCCAATTTTGAAATCGCAATCTGTTGTCAGGAGACTAAATCACTCACTTACCAATTTTAACAAAGAAATTCAACGTAATAAAGGCGTGGTTTTTTTAGAGAGAAAATATCGCATTCGAGTGCAGTTTCGGTATCAGTATCGAATGCGAAGTTTTCTCTCTAAAAAAACCACGCCTTTATTACGTTAAATTTCTTTGTTAACATTGATAAGTGAGTGCTCTAGTATCCTGACAACAGAATTGCGATCTCAAAATTGGAAAAAAAATGACGAGTAGCTGAAAAATGGAACTAATTGATGCGATATATCGCATGCCGTTCTGACACAAAATATGGCGTCCATCGAATCACCTTAAACGCATTAGGATTGTGTAAGAGAATAAAAGAACTTCTTCTAACCGGAAGCCGGCTCAGGTGGAAAAGTCCGACTTTGATTGTAACCTGGAAGCTTGATTTACTTAAATTTCTTGGTCTAAGTTTCTCGGTTTGTTTCTACGTTTCCCCATATATGTGACAGACGGACGGCTGTAGGGCGAGGTAAGAGAAACGAAGGTATAGTCCTTTGCTAGCTTATTTTTGAAGTTAGAGCATGTGTATCTTATCCTCTTGAACAATGTATTCTCGGTTAAATTTTGTGTACCGATACTTCAACATGATGTCATCAATAACGTCATTTCATCTATACTA